CTTATCTCGATGCAGATAAAGTCAAATGCTAGCTTACTGATCATATTACGTAAACACCTCTAATGTTTTTACAGCTGCCACCATATCATATTTATGATAATGGTTTAAGAATCAATTACTCAGACTTTGATCAACTCTGTGGATTAGGCCATTTAAAACAGTAAAATACTTTATAAGTTATGAAGCAGCCATTGCAGCAAATCCAACTGATTTTTGTGTTTGCAGCTTGAAGGGACACAGCTGATAGCCTAGAGGTGTTATAGCTGAACTGTTAATCCAGAGACCCAGGTAACATGCTGGGGACCAAGGATTGAATCCTGCCACAGCTAGTGGAGGAAATTGAATTCAATAACAATCTAGAACTAAGAATTTAATGATGACGATAAATCTATTGTCGATTGTCAGGGGGACATTTCACTGAGAGAGATAGTAGGAACTGCAGATGCTGGAGAATCCGAGACAACAAGATGCAGGGCTGGATGAACACAGTAGGCCGAGCAGCATCTTAGGAGCAGAAAGGCTGACGTTTCGGGCCTAGACCCTTCAGGACACTTCCATTCCTACCTGGTCTACCATACATGTGACTCCAGATCTACGGCAATGTGGTTGACTCTTGACTGCCCTCTGGGCAATAAATGCTGGCCTAGCCCGTGATGCCTACATTGCAGATTAACTGCAAATCTTACAAGCACAGAACATGTAGCCTTAAAGGCTGAACTCTCTTAAAGATCAGTAACACATAGAGCACAGTATGCACAAACATATTCGGTGGCTGAATTAATTTCATATGTCATCATGAACCCATGAATGTTTCAATATCCAGCTTCAAAGTAACAGTTTCGATAGTGACATCATCAGCATTCAGTATTTGAACAAAAACTTTCATTGATCAACATTTTGAAAATAGCTGTGATTATTTAACAGGTCTATTTTAAAAGTACAGAATGAAGGGCTAGGAAAGGAGGGAGCAGACGGTGCTTCTAGAGGAGGCCCCAGCTCACTGGCCAAATAGTTCATCAGTCTGGATGGTCAGCTCCCAAAGCTGCTAATCTGGTCCATAGAACATCCCAACTGACCAGAAACATGGCCAATAATCACTGTTATTCGGAGCAACAGCTGTCATTGGCTGAGTAGCAGAACAGGCCACACTATCCTCATTTCATGCCTGCCTTGTAAATATCTATTTAAACCCTGTCATCATTGAGTGTGGGTTCCTTAATCTTCACTCTTCTTTCTTCTGACTGGTTCTAGAGGCTGTTGGAGCACAAGTAGGTTGGTGAAGGTTGTCTTTAAGCAGGTCCCCCTAATCCCCTCATGTTCCCCTGTAAAGAAAGTGTTGGCAGGTGACCAGGTTCCACGCCAGGACCAACTTCACTACCTCAAACCCTCAATTCACTGGAACCAACTCTGCTGAGGACTTCCAGCATTTTGTGTTTTTATTTCAGATTTCTAACATCTACAGTACTTTGCTTCATGGTGGGCACTGATAAGTGTGGTTAGTTTTAACTTTACATTAGAAAATATTCATCACTCAATGCAAAATGTAACTTTTCTGTAAACAAATCCCACTTGTGTGGCTAGAAAAGCACAAAATTGCAAGAGAATTGGTTGATGCTAATTTATTAGAAGGTTCTTCAGTTTTAAACATGGAAGTGAAAACAGGAGTTATGTACCAATAGAAATGTTATCGTAAGTTCAAGAAATTCTCATTTGTACATTGGATTGTTGCTTGTGATGGTTGTGAGAGTTAAGTCTTTTGGACGTTATGTCCAGAAATTGAATGGGGCCAGGTTCAAGAAAGCAGATCTGGTTGCATCATATGAATGACCAAGTTGTGTGTCATTGTCTGACAAAGCTGAGATTTTGGTGGCCTTTAGATATAGAGGCATAGACCATAAAAGTCAAAAGGTTTTACTAAATAAACATTTTTACCCCAATTGTGCATACCACAAGGATGTAAGGAAGAGGGTTAAATTGAGGGTGGGGAGAAAGGGGAAAAGAATAAGTAACCTTGGGACACCGGAAGTACCAGGCCCCATGATTTCCCTCTCTGGCCCTGATGAGAAATGATGATTCTTTCACATAGAACACTGGTTAGCTGTGGACTGATCAGAATATGACTTCTTGCAGGTCTACAAACATTTGTAGGCTCTGTAAACATCTTCTGAAATAAAATAGCCAAAAGCAGAATGGAGGATATAAACATCCACAATGTCTGTATATTCATTTCTTTGCTGTTTGAATATTATAGTTTTGGCCATGGCAGTCATCAGTAATTGAGATTGGACTGTCCAGTGATGTCCTTTAACCATGTGAGTAAGTAAATAAGGGCCGTAAGTGTTGAAGACTCCAAATCCCAAACCACACCTATTTAAAATTCACACTGTGTTACTAAAGTTGGTGACAGTCAAAATTATAACACTTCAACTTATATCTCTGGAATTAGAATTACTACATTTGCTCATAATGATTTTTGCCGTTTAGTGGGTTCTTGTAACCAATCACTTCTTATTCTAAACTCTGGATGCCAGAGAGTGCGATTTCCATAAACATTGGGTTCAAGGGTAACAGTTTAGTTAAGTAGTGGTAGGTAAACCTTCTTGGACAAAGATTTTTAAATTGTCATTAGATTCACATGAAATACTTTTGTGCTGAACTTTCGTAGAAACATCGAAGACAGTAGCAGGAACAGGCCACTTGACCCCTTGAGCCTGCTGTATCATTCAATATGATCATAGCTGATCAATAAGCTCAATAACCTAAATCCCCCACCCCGCCATATCCCTTTAGCGTCAAGAGCTATATCTACTTCTTTCTTAATCACATAATGTTTTGATCTCAACCACTTCCTGTGGTAGTGAATTCCTCATGCTCAACACTCTCTGGGTGAAGAAATTTCTCATCTCAATCCTAAAAGATTTACCACTTATCCTTAAAGTATGAGCCCTGGTTCTGGATTTCCCCCACTACCAGGAAAACCTTCCTGCATCTAACCTGTCTAGTCCTCTTAGAATTTGCTAGATTTCTAAGGGATTCCCCCTCATTCTTGTAAACTCAAATGAACACAATCCTAACTAACCCAATCTCTCCTCATACAACAGTCCTGCCATCTGGGGAATCAATTTGGTAAACATTTGCTGCACCCCTCTATAGCAAGAGCATCCTTCCTCAGAGAAGGAGGCCGAAACTGCGCACAATATTCCAGGTGTGTCCCACCAAGGCCCTGGATAACTGCAGCAAGACTTTCTTGTCTTGTAGTTGGATCCTCTCACTATGAAGGCCAACATACAGTTTGCCTTTACTGCCTGCTGCGTCTTTCAGCAACTGGTACACAAGAACACCCAGGTCTCATTGAACATTCCCTCTCTCAAGTTACAGCCATTTAAATAATAACCTGCCTTCCTGTATTTGTTAACAACATGGGTAACCTTCCATTTTTCCATGTTAAACTGCATCTGCCCACTCACTCAGTCTGGCCACAGCATACTTCAACATCTCAGCATCCTCCTCAGAGCTCACCCATGCAGCTTTGTGTCATCTGCAGATTTTGAGATACTTCATTATCTAGCATTTTTTTTATGCTGAGGAACATTTTAAAAATCACTTAAACTGAAATCCTGTTGGACCTAAGTTCTATCTTAACACAGTACACTAGACAACACAGAAATTTAAGATGTAACAGTGCATCTTTATCTCTCCCAGACAAAAAATTATTTGTTCTGTTTAAGTCGATATTATTTCTAATGTATGTGTTTATGTGTGTGCTTATGTGTATGCATGTATGTGTATTGGCGTGTATGTGTGTACAGTGTATGGGTGTGTATGTGTCTGGCCTATTATAAAATATTTGCGTGCTAATGGGTGTGCCAAGTATGCATTTTGATTCAGTTCATTGCACACCAGATGCCACACATGTAAAATAATCCTTTCAGAACCAGGAGAAAGTAAGCCTGTCTTTAAACAACACATGCATTTTGTATGCTTCACAGTTCGCTAAACAATCATTAGGCTATAATCCGTTTGGCTTGAAAATTCCTTGACAACAGAAAATACCTCATTGACCCTGGATGTCTGAATAACTGTAGCTTTTTATTTACCTTCATGTCTGTATTCGAAATAAAATCTTTTTTTTAAAGAATGGAGTGGCAACTTAATCTGAACTGAACTGAGAATCTGCTACAAAAAAATTCAATACATCAGGGATTTCAAAAATGTAGAGCAGTTGCACTTTACGAGCTTAATGGGATGGTTATGTTTAAAATGATGTTCCAGGCCTTTTAGAAAAGAGTTTCCTCTTTTTCTCAACCAAATTCTGGGCAGGGAGATGTAGGGTGGAGGAGAGAACATGAAAGAGTATCTTATGTTAGTTATTTTACAAATTCAGTAAGTTCCTTTTCAGCAAAGGTAAACCATCTTATTTCAAGCTTCTGATTTTCTGATGATACTATTCTGCTTTATAAACAAACGAAGTGAAACTTCATGAGGTCAGTGGTTAATAGTGTGCTGTGTGAGTCACTGTGTGGGCCATTCACCTAAATAACACTTTTCATTGTTGTTCCAATTCCAATACATCATTCTCATGTGCAGGTACCAGCCTTATATTTCCAGGACATAAAAACTATCCACAAAAGGTGCACTAGTTTTAAACAAATATAGCATGCTGTGGTTTAGCAAAAATCAGTATGTTTCATAAAAGCATAGAAGCCACATTCACTAGTCATTAAACAGCAACAAAGATTCTGATGATCAGGCTTTTAAGTCTAGTGTTCACAGGTGATGTTTTCTACAAAATTTATTCATCCAATTTTTTTTAAGCTAGGTAATTATGTTGTAACTCAAGAGTACAAATAGCTACTGTTAAATCTATCCTTTTTTTATCTGTAATTAAATGTATTTTGTAAAGATTTCACTTCTGTCTCTATACCTCTGAAGCTATTTTTTTTGTTAAAGCCGAGCGTGCTTTTCTTTGAAGTGTTGATGGTGTCTCTGTATTCCTGTAGCATGGGTGTGAGGGTGATGGACACATCCTGGGTGGCCCGCAGAGGCTCCTCCGGAGTCCGAAAAACATCCTCCACCCCACCCGGCACGCAGCCCCCTCCTCCGCCCGCCGAACCTGCCGCTTCGGGTCAGTCGCCAATCCCTGAGCAGTCTGTAGAAAATTCCTCTTCTCCCTCCCCCACTCCTCCTCCTAGCGGCCCACTACCCGGGGCTGAACGTGCAAGGTAAGAGTGTGTCGCAGCTGCTGTGTCTGTGTCAGCAAGCTTCTGGAGCTTTCCTTTCCTGTCCTCGCACTCCTGTCTTTCTGTTTGACTGTTACCTGAGCTTCTGGCACATGGAGCGAGCTGAATCAGGAATTGGTGCACATCAGTACAATCGCACAAACTAGTTAATACATTGTGGTATGAGAAGTGACCTACCCGATTGCACCGAAAGTTGTGCATAATGAAGGCATAATGTGTTTGTTTGGGCAGCAGGTTAAACTATACCATCAGACAAATGGTGACAGCTCTTAAGGGCAGTGGTGTGAAAATATTGCACAGCTTTCAGGATCACAAAGAAAACCCCTGTAGTGTTGTGAGATAACCCTTTTCTGAAGAAGGGTCCAGACCCGAAACGTCAGCTTTCCTGCTCTTCTGATGCTGCTTGGCCTGCTGCGTTCATCCAGCTGTACACCTTGTTATCTCAGATCCTCCAGCATCGGCAGTTTCTACTATCCCTGTAGTGTTGTAATGTTTGACAAGGAGAATTGGAGAGTTGTCTATCCAATGCTGACATTAAGGTTAGATGGCACAGAGAGCAGTGTAGGTGGGAGCTGCATGTTGTGATGTGACATGGATATAAAGTGGGCAAAACTCTGGCAGATGGTGAGCAACTGCGAGTTTGACCACTGCCGAGCTGAGAAGAATCAGAGAATTTTGTAAATAGTGAAAAATTAGAACTGTAGACAAGCAGAGAGATTGACAGGAGCTACTATAAACTAGTGGACAGGTAGAAAAGTAATTAAAGAGGTGAATGACTTTCATTTTATGGGAGCAAGAATACAAAGGACTGGAAGTGATGCAGAGTTGGATGATATTTTGAATCACGGATCCCCCACGCTGTGCAAGCAGGCCATTCAGCCCACCAAGTCCACAGCAACCCTCCAAAGAGCATCCTACCCAGACCCATGCCCCCTACCCTGTAACCTCAAATTTCCCTTAGTTAATCCACTTAGCCTGCACATCCCTGGACACTATGACCAATCCAAATAACCTGCACATCTTTGGACTGTGGGAAGAAACCACAGTACCCTGACAAAACCAACACAAACACAGGGGGAATGTGCAAACTCCACACAGACAGTTGCTGGAGGGTGGAATCGAACCCAGGTCCCTGGTGCTGTGAGGCAGCAGTACCAACCACTGAACTACCATACCACCCTACTGCTTTTGGCTTTGGTCACTGTGCCTCAGCAAGGGCAATACAGGCCTCGGAGGAACTGCAGGGCAGATTCACCAGAATGGACCTGAGGCTAAAAATGTTAAATTATGAGACAAAGTTTCTAAAATAGACTCATTTTCACTAATGTACAGAAGATTGAGAGGCGATTGAATCGTTATGTTTGTGATGTTGAAGGTATTTGTAGGGTGGATAACAAGAAGTTATTTCTCTGTTTGGGAAGTTCAGAACAAGGGGAAATAAGCTTAAAATTAAAAATTACTGTTTAGGGGTGAAGCTAGAAAGCACTTTTTTACAAAAAAGGTAGTGGAATCTAAACCTTCCTCCCTTAAATCCTGTTGAGCTGGATTAATTAAAAATTACAAAACTAGGAAATGGCTAGATTTTAAGAATATTAAAGAATGTGGAACAGAGGCTGGGGACTGGTTATCAAAATACAAATCAGCCATGATGTAATTGAATAGCAGAACAGGCAAAAAACTATGAAGTGCTTATTCCTGTTCTTAGGTTCCTAATATGCCGACTGTCATTGTACAATAAAATTCATATCTGTTGGGGTAGGGGGAATGTGCAGACATTCTACTTCTTCTGCCAAATAATAAGCAGTCGCCATTTAGTCCATTATACCCTTGGGCTAATGATCATTAACTTCGATCTAATTAAGTCACAAAGATGCAAAATAACATTATTAGATGCTCTGTGCATTTTTCGTGTGATTCAATTTAGTTACCACTAGAGGTCAAGATATAAACATGTTGGCATGTTTAAAAATGACAATCAGATAATTCAGCTATCAGTTGCTTTATCGATTGAATACCTGGGGTATAATGACTCCATGCAGAAACCAGTGTTTGTTACTTTAGTGTTATTTACAATGAGCTAGTTTACTGTACTGCATTTCAAAATAAACTAAATGATGTATGTGGATAATTACTGGATTAACCAGCAAAGCACTCAAGTCATTAAGGAAGAAGGCACAAAGTTGCTTTATTTCATTCAGAATTTTATTTGAGCAGTCAAGCACATGGACCATTTATTTGAAACGATTATGATTCTTTTCAAATTGGATATTTTTTAACCAAAGTTTTCAAATGGATTAACTCATCCATCAAGTTAAATCAAGGCATAAATGATCAGAAAATTCCACAAGTCTTTAAATTGAAGCACTCCAAATTCAATCCCTTATTAGTGTGAAACTGAGCTGGTTAGATATTCACTTTTAGTAAGTAGTGATGTTAAAGTTAATAATAATATCAGAAGAACTTTTATCCTGTGGCTGTGTTTAATTAAATAATGAAATACCAAACAGTCTGAAGTTAACAGTGTTCATGAGCAGTCAAATCAAATTCTTGAAGTGTTTCTGTTACTTTCCTGCAACAATGCTGTCTTTCTTTAGAAAAGAAAATTCAATCAATTTCTAATTTTCTGCATGGATTTTGTCAAATCGTTCCATTTATTTTATGTATAACTCTAATATTGTTACTGTTTCAATGCATCATATTATTCAGCAATTAATTTAGTCCAAAACTAATAATTTTCACTGTCACAAGCTGATAAACTTTGAAGAAAGTATTTATTTTTCGTCAGATATTGGAGACATTAATTTCTCAGAAAGGGAAGATGGTCATTTGACTATATACTGCAGCAGCTAGAACTCCAACACCGGCCAGTCCATTTCACCCATTATATTTATTACCCACATTGCATTTCTTGTATGAGACTTCTATTTAATTTGAATGCCTGAGATGTAATTTGTTTTGTAAAATTTAGTTTAAAAATAACAAAATTCCTTTATCATCTATGACTGGAGTCCTATTCCATAATTGTGATTAAGATCAAGAAACTTCTCTCGTCCTCGCTAATAACAGTGTCAGAGATAACGGCTGATTAGCAGGCTCCCTGCTTAACTGTTTTCAGAATTGTAGAATCCAATCACCCAACTGCAGTGCACTTTTACCATTACGTTAGGCCACAATCACATTGCCACCAATTCTAAAAGTTTTCTTACAAATTACAAGCCATAATTGTTTGCCAAAATCATGACTTATGTAAATTCTGTATCAGCACTTTGTATTTACACATCAAAGATGTCAATCCACTTTAGACGTAAATTGAAAAAGATGCAGAAAAATAATCTGCTAATACACCATTTTTAAGGTTGTTCTTGGCATATTGTTGATGCTGTCAATTCCAAAGGGGCTTGTCATGTTGACTTTGAACAATAGTGTAAATTGGGCAATGTTGATCATTATACATCTCTCTCAAGTTTCACTTAAACCCAGAGAGGCTCATTCTGTATTTAAAAAAAGCTGTTCAGACATACTATGACAAACCTCTGGAGCAGTAGCACCGGAACCATGTCTTCTGGCTGAAAGGTAGGGACATTACCACTGTGCTACAAGAAACTCCAGGAATGTTCAGATAATTTCTAATCAACCTGGTCGGAGAAGTTATTATATACCTCTGGACCAGGTGGAACCTGAAGCCGAGACGCCTGGATCAAAGGTTAGGATATTACTACTGTTTCGCAAGGGGCCCTCCAGAGATTTATAACATGCTACTCAATCAATATTACATGTTTTCCAATGTCACCCAAAGCCAAGGTTTCCTTCCCTTTATTTACACTACCCCTAGTTTCCTGAGAAGATGGTGGGTAAGTATTACATACACAACTGAATAACTACAGATCACCTTACTGAGCACTAAGAAACCACCATTTAATATTGACTAGAATCATAACCAGGCCAGACCTTTCCCTAACGCACCTGATAATCCAGAGTTAATTTGTTCTAGTAAACTTCTCAAAACAACACTGGTTCCTCTCATTTCTTATACAGATCTGAACTGTTGCCACCCTGGAGAATGACAAAAGACATGCAGTAAATTAGAACAGTTTCAGAAGCTGTTGATATGTCACTGATATTTTGAAGTGCAGTGAACGCATGTGCGTTTTGTATTTTAGCTTCTAATGCGTAGAGAAACAACATTTTGCATAGATTTCAAGTTCAGCATGGCAGTGCTCAGTTCTTCATGTCTGCTGTGTGTTGTGCAATCACCCAGCCACCTTATCGCCACTGCTTTGATGCTTTACAGCGAATATCTGTTATGTGTTGTCATGCTGTGTCTGAGTTACTAAACCTTGTATTTTTTTTCTCTGTTGATTTCTCCTCCTCCTTCCTGTTTTCTTTTTTACCTCCCCAAACAAATGTTGTTGCTCTTTTTAACGTTTACAGCACAGACGAGTTGTCTTCCAATTGGTCGGATTCCGGTTACTCTTACCCTTCCCCAGAGAATAAAAGACCTTCCCCTTCTTCTTGTTACCAGCATGCCCACCATTTCTACCATCAGGCTCAGCCGTCTGCTCGGCCCGAGGGTCTCCCTCAAGCTTCCTCCCCTCAAAAGTGGTCAGGGTACAGCCCAACCTTTCTCACTCAGCCCTCCTCCCCACAGCAGCTTGACATCAACTCGAACCCCAAGCCGTGCTCCCTGCACCTTTTTAAGCAAAGCCCCCTCACTGACTCGCATGTATCCGAAACTAATATCTCACCTGTCTACATCAAAACCCCTCTACTCCTAACCAAGCACGACCCTTGTGGTACCCCCTTTAACCCTCCTGTGTCAGCCTCTCCCCCGTGGGTCGGCTGTGCCTGTGCCAGAGACAAAGGAACCAGGCTGACTAGGTAAATATTTAGAATTCCTGCCTCAATGCTATGAGTTTTTCTGAAAGAGTTATTAACATGTATGTGAAAACTGTTAGGTCTTCTATTGAGATAATGTAACTTGTAGAGGATTAAGTTTAAAGAAAAACACTTGTAGGGCTTATGTATATGTCTGACATGTATATTTTATTAATAAGTTAGCTTACCACATTTGATAGAAAAGTTTTTGCAAGAGCATAATACTGCTGTGTGTTTACCTTTGTAAGTTAAAGGAATATACAGATGCAATTAATCCTTTTCTTTTCTCTTCAGTGCTATGAAAGGCAAAGAACTTTCACCTGTGATTGGACAGAAAGGGAGACCTGTTTCCGACCATGTGACTTCTTCAAGCAGCCTCCAGCAAAGCATTGCCACAAGTCAACTGCCAAGTGAGCAAAGCCCCCATACCCTGAGGAAAGGTGGGCACTTGTACTCTTTTTAAAACGATACGTGTTGACTAGTGTGCCTTGTGTCTTAGCAACATATAAGGCAGGAAATTGATGTTGAGAGCCTGACTCAATGCTTAGTTGACAGCGTTCCCCTGTATATGCATAGATTGAGTCCTTGAAAGGTTTGGTGCTGCAAATTGAAGAAGACACACCCAACATTCAATACAATGTGACCAGAATGCCTGACATGACAGCAAATTTGAAAAGTGTTACATCCTAATACTACTGCCAGCCAGACAGGGAACTAACTGTGGGTTTATTTTGTTTTCACTCACAATATAACAGAGAAACATCATAGGGCACAGGATGATGGTTTACACTGAAACTTCCCAAAGAACAGCAGTGTGACTCTTGCAGATTGACTGGGGAACAGATTTAAATGTGTAAGGATAAGTGAAGTGGTCTGAACATGTGCATTGTACAGTTTTATCACTCTGTATTGATAGGCCCAGTACTTACTGCATGTGAGGTGGAACTTTGAAGTTCAAAGGAAACTGTGACAGCTCACAAAATCAAATATTACCTAACCGGCACAATGAGCCTCAGCCGTGCTGATATCCATTAGAGTACAGGGCTTGCCATTTTAAGACAATATTTTAAGCAAGTTTTCTGATAATCGGAATGAATGCTGTATCAGGAGGTGATTTTCGGGGCTATTGGTTTGGTATTTTTTGCTTGATTCTTCTGAGCACTAGGGAGCACTTATTAAGCAGTAAAATTAAAAGCAGAATATGCTGAGAATATTCACCTGGTTACAGAGAGAGAGAGAGAGAGAGAGAGAAACTGGCCTAATATTATGGAAAGTTGACCATACAGTCACTGTCCCTCAGTTCAGGAATTATGTCTTTGCAGGTTGGCAGGTTTCTGCCATGGGTCATTATGGTACTTAACAGCCCAGTTCTTGATCTTCAGGCTCATGGAGTAGGATGTCCCAAACATTTACTTGGATCCCACGTACAGGATTTTATCTTCTCTGCCGCTGTATCATCATTAAAATATTATGCGTGCTTTAAAGGGCTAGTAATTGCCATGTTTAATGTTTGCAAGTTCCTCCTAGTCACAAATGTTGATGCCTCAGGACTTCAGGAAGATCTTCAGTGTGTCCTTGAATCATTTTCTGTGTCCTCTCCTGCAATGCTGGCCATTTGAGAGCTGAGAAATCAGGATCTGGCAGGGAAGACACTTTCTGACCAGCAAGTCAAAGTGTCCAGTCCATTGTAGCTGGCTTAGCAGGAGTTTTGCCTGAATACACATGGAGTTGGTTTGAGGAAGGACACAAGTGGTCCTCCCATTGAATCTGGAAGATGCGGCAGAGGCATTGCTGATGGAATTTCTGCAGTACTCTCACGTGTCCCTGATGGGCAATGCAGGTCTCAGTGCAGTATGACAGTGTGGTGATAACTCCTGCTCTGTAGACATGGATATTTGTGGGGTCATTGTTGGCAAACACTTAGCACCATAGTTTGTAGAAGGCTGAGCTAATCTGGAGTTAGACTTCTTTGTCAATAGTAGCCTTTTGTGAGAGGAGGCGACCAAGTTCTGGGAAGTGCTCAACGTTTTCCAGAGTCTCTCCTTAAACATGTTTTGAAGTGGAGTACTTCACTGACCAGTTGTGGGTTTACGTGTAGGGTTTGTGTTAGCAACATCGAAGGATTGGTCAAGTTTTTTGTTTGTAGAATTGAAGATATCAAGAGTGGCTTCCAACTTCATTGCAGAATAGGCAATGACACTGGAGTCATCTCCATCCTGTGGGCCATGTATATCTGTGGTGTTCAGTTTAGATTCTGGCACCACATTCTACATCCAGGTGATATTTAATACCGACATCTGGGAGCTAAATAATCACGTTTGAGAAGATTGTATGCAGGCTATCATGCACCCTCGCTTGACCCCGGTTCAGATTTTGAAGGTGGCTGTTTCAGGTTTCTCATGTCATCCTGTAGCAATTGCAGGATAGGATGAACTGTCTTCATCGTCCATATCTCTGGAGCACAATCCACAGAGCATCGTGATTTACTAAATCAAATGCTTCAGTCAGGTTGATGAACTGTTGTCATTCTTGACATTTTTCTTGGAATTGCATGGCAACCTAGACCATGTCTTAGGTTCCCATGGAACGTCTAAAGCTGCACTGTATGGGCTTGATGGAGGTCTCAGTCTCTAGCAGTAGAGCTTCTGTATCACTTCTTTTTTGCCACATCTTGTCCCACTCAAGTACTTAACAAGCCAGTAACATCAAGGACCAGGGATGGGGGAAGGTGGGGGGGCAGGTGGGGGCATGGTGGTGAGGAGGTTCTACCAGCTAAAGGCTGGCAATTCTTCTGTACTCAGCAGCATTACTGGGAAGACAGTGGCTGCTTTCAGTATTACACTCCATCAAAGCCTCCAATTGAGAAGGGGCCCAGATGCAGGTGAGCAATATTAGGAAGGGGCCGGGGGATGTGGCATGGTGGGTTAGGGGAATGGGTGGGAGGTTGGTAACAAGGGCAGAAGGTGGGCTTTTAGTGTGCCCCTTCTCTTTCCATTTCAGTTGAATGAAGGATCTCTTCCCCCACCCCACCACCTCTTTGAGCCTGCGAGCAAACACGTCTGAATGTGCTTGTTGCTCTCACAAGATAGTAGGCCTCACAGCCGCTGTGTTGTGAATGCTAGCAGTGACAGGCTGAACCTCTTAAAAGGGCATTAAATGCTCACTTGAGGGCCACAGTTGGCATCAGAGCTGTTCACAGGCCTTCCTGCCACATTAAATTAATCATAGTGAAACATAGAAACTAGAAGCAGGATTAGGCCATTCAGCCCTAGAAGCCTGCTCGGCCATTCAATATGATCATGACAGAACATTTATCTCAGTGCCATTTTCCCATTTCCGCCCCACTTCCTTGATGCCTTTAAAATCTTAATATGTATCTGTCTCTTTCATGAATATATTCAGTGATGTTTCCTTATCTGAGTCCTAAATGGTCTACCCCATATCTTGAGACTATGACCCCCTGGTTCTGGACTCCTCACCTCGGGAAAGCAGTTTCGCTGCATCTAGACTATACAGCCCTGTTCAAGTGTTATACATTTCAATCAGATCCCTCCCACCTTGCTAAACTTTGGTGAATAGAGGCCCAGTCAAACCAATCTCTCATCATAGGACAGTCTTGCCATCCCCAGAATCAGTCCAGTGAACCTTCACTGCACTTCCTCTAGGAAGCAGAACGGTGCCTGTGTCACTTCCTTCACCCTCCTGACAATGAGTTACATTGCCCACAACCACCAAACATGCAATGGAAAGAGCACAAGTTTCTCTCCTGTGTCTCTGAATTAGTGTTTGAGGTGAAGTCTTCACAGTGCTGATGGGCACTTATTAAATTGTTGAAATAAGAGCAAAAAATGCTTGAAATACTCTGCAAGTCGGATAGTCCCTGTAAATGGAAAGAGGAAGAGAGAAAACAGAGCCAGTATTTCAGAACCTGATGGCAGGTCTCCGGCCTGAGATGGTGTTTTCTCCAGACACTGCCTGACCTGCTGAGTATTTCCAGCATTTCTTTTCCGATTATTCCAGCATCCACAGTACTTTATTTCTGTTAGAAATAGTTTTGTTGCATGTACTAATGTTTTCAACAGCTGGCAGCCATTGCTGAATATCTTGACTCCATTTTACTGTAACACTTCTCTTCCTGGATACACTGCTCAGTTTCTCCCACTTGTCAGGTCTTCCTCTTTCCTCTCCAGTGTGCTGCAGTGCACAACATGTCTGCACAGTGCTCAGACTGTCCTCTGGAGTGCACTGCTGAACAGTTTAAAGGGAGTGCAGTTGTATTAAAATATATTTTTGTTTTGATCTTCCGACTTTTTCTAATCGGCTTTTTTTTTAAATGATATTTTGTTGTACCAAATGTGCCTTTAAAAACATACACACGCAAGCTAAAAATTTTGTTTCTTTCCTTTACAGCTGCAAAGAAGGTGGCCCCCATAGCTCCTAAAATCCCCTTTGACCAGGCAACAGGCCAACCTTCCCCTGCAAGCTTATCTCCTACTCCCCCAAGCACTCCATCGCCATATGCTGCAAACTATCCTCAAGCTTATACCTTACCATCAAGTCAAACACCCACAGCTGCTCCATCCCTGTCTTCTCCTCCATCCCAAACAAGCACTTTAACTAAATCTCGACCCACACTCAAGCCTAGACAAAGACCCACTCTTCCACCTCCACAGCCTCCTACAACAGGGTCTAGTCCACAGGCTTTGGACCATACAATTTTAGACAACCTGTCAGCTGGAGAAAGCATGTCTACAGGTATGAGTTTACCTTAATTTACCAGTCTTTGCAGAGGACACTAACTCATGCTAACATATTACATTGCATTGTAAATCAATGGATTTAAGTATTTTTAAATTATTCAGTTTGGCATTATAAGATCAGTGAAATGAATTTGAATTCTTGTTTTATAAGTTGTTTAAAAAATTCTAATGATTCAAAATCTTAAAACATTAATATTATTTCCAAATGAAAGCAATAAGATAATCTTTCTTTAATTCTTTCTGAGAGTGTGGGCACCACCGGCATTTATTATTCATCACTTGAGAAGGTGACATTGAGTCACCTTTTTGGACTAACACATTTCACTTGCTAAGCCACTTGTGAGAGCAGTAAAGAGCCAACCACGTCAGTATGCTGTTGGGGTCACAAATATCTCTATCTCTATAAGGTTTCATTCCCTAGAGGACATTGGAGATTGTTCTGGCAGTTATAGTTACTTATACTGAGCTTTTGTTTCTCTCCATATTGTTTTAAATTGAATTCATATTTTCTAAATTTCTCTAGTGTGTTGAACGCAATTTCTCTGAGTTATTAGTCTGTAACATAACTACAACATTACCAGCGCTGATAGTTAAATGTGTGGTAAAGTTCACCTGCTCCCTGATACTTAAGTCCATCAGTCACTATTCTCAGATGGATTGCCAGACAAAGCCTCTTGTGATAGCCAAATAAGTGTACCATATCTATAACCATATATCAAGCAAAAGGTGCAACGTAGTTTAGTTTGGTCAGCATGGATGGTCACTCTATGACTCTGTGTGTTCCTATAATGGGGTTTGTACTGGCTGCCCAGACCAATACTGGCAAGCTATCAGGAATGTGTTAATCTCCTCATTGTAGAAAATACCTTGTTTCATGAGAGAATTTGGAAAAAAATATGAATTTAAGTATGTTCTACTTTAAACAGATTAGAGCTAATTTCCCAAGAGCATACCTCCACCAGTTTTTGTTGCTAAAAAAATGAAACAAGAATTCAAATGCATGATTTGAACCATGGTCATTTTGCCATGAAGTCTTAAAATATTTATTTTAAAGAAAGCAATGTTCATGGCAGGTGATAATATCGTCCTTGAGACATGCAGCATTTTTGATTGAACATGCACATAGTGAATTTACAGCACTTACTTTTATTTCCAAATATGTTTTTTGCTCTGTTAATAACTGCTTTAAAAAGTGGTCAACAATTCCAATTCATACCTAAGATGATTGTCAAACTATCCTGTTTACAGTGTAGGATAGATTACAGGAACAGAGGTACATGCGCAGACTTATTCATCAGCCCCAATGTTCCAGTTACCATCCCCTCCTCAGTAGTTGAAAAATGTAAAAACCAATGAGCCAAACTCCAACATGGTGATTTCTGTGAGGAGATGAAAACACTTTGTAAATTTGACCACTTCTAAAAGCAAGCCCAGTTTCTGTTTATCCCGCCATAAGAAAGACTGAGTAACATTACCTCCAGGAACAATTACAGAGATCAACCCCACTCACATTAAATGCAGCCTCCTAAGACAACCTGATTACCACCATGTTATCAATCTCTGCCCAGTAAATTCGCTGCTATATTGCTATGTGTAATAGTTACCTGTTGCCAGTGACTAAGTAAACAATGTAAATGTGCAATAACAAACGCTGTTAATTTCAGGAAATTTTTCCAGCAAAGGAAAAGCCTTGTGCAACATGTAACAATATAAGTCATAAGGCCTTCAGGATGTGTCGCTAGGCAAGGCCTTACTTTAATTGGCTGATACATTGCTGATATCCAAAATCCTAGCAACGCATCCTTTTCAACTTTTGCTGTTTTGTTTTTGAAAAGCAATTGATCTAAAATATTCTGAAACAGGTGAAAATTTAGCTGGAAGATTAAGCATCTCTTTCACATTCCACAGTTCTTTGATTTTTGGGAAGAATATTTCTTTTCTACGCTGAAAATGGCCGTGTTAATCACCAATAAAGGTGCATTTCAGATAAATTGGAATGCTGAATGAAAGAGATATGATACTAATACACAACAAAGTACTTAACATTACTCAGCTCTTGGGACTGAACAGTCGATGGAATTGTGAACCTGTTATCCCATTCAGCCCAACTGAGCTCAATGTATCCCAAAAATACAGTCCTCAGCATTGCAAGAATATGATGTATAGCTTCTAGATATCATTCTTTGAAATTAAATTAGAATAAATTGTAAAGGGTCAAAATATTTGGAAAGAAAATCCTAAAAGTAACACTTTAACACAATGTTTGCATGAGGTCCTTTATTTTCAGTGTCTAAAAGATGTGAACTGTACTTTAGAGGAGTGCACAGTCTAGTACAGATTTATAGCAAATTCTAAATTAGGATCGGATTTAACGATTTATTGAGATTGAAAGGTTATGGACATAGTAGAATCAATATGTGTAGCTAAATTAAACCTTTTTTTCCTACAGGAGGCTGGAAGAACACAGCAAGCCAGGCAGTATCTGGAGGAAAGCAGAAGTCAATATTTCCTGAAGTACTGGAGAAGGGTAATAAACGTTGACTTCTCCTTTCCTCCAGATGCTGCATGTCTTGCTGCATACATCGAGCCTCCTGTTTGCCTACCTTGGATTCCAGTATCTGCAGTTTTTTTGTCTCAAACCTTTTATCTTCCCTGCTGGAAAGGGAAGGGATTCTAGTGTTATTGCAAGATCTGTTACCTCCTGATGGTCACTTAAAAGCCATATAATATAATGAGTTTTACTAATTTTAACATCTAGTTGGTCATGTTTGCCATGTCAAAATGAGAACAGTGCAGAAATTTTTTTTCAGTCTAGACTTAATAGATATCGATCCATTTCACTAGTTAGAAAAATGGATGACAAACAAAGTGTTGAGTCATCTCCCATAAATAGGCAAGTGTTCCACAAAATATGAAATCTGTGAAAATGAATTTAGCTAGTTTGAAAATCTGCTTGCTCACAGATTTCAGTCTCATCAATTGATATAGATGCACAACGGTATTGGTAAAGCTTCTAATAGTCATCCTTTTAATCAAACGCTCATTCACTGATCTTGTGGTATTTTATTTCTGTTGAAGTGTTATGTATTGTCATAATCAACTAAATTTTAAAAATTAACTTCAATATAACGTCCAAGATCATATGCAAAGGTTTCCTAATCATTTTAGATTATTTCATCTTTCTTCATTTATTTCTCTCTATTACCCAGTTTATAGTTATTTTTGATCATTTTATCATAACAAAGAGACACAAGACGATACAAATTGGCCTCCAGCTTTTGAGGCTTTTAAGATAAGACGCATTATACAACATTATTTTCGTGATCGGAGCTTATTTTTTAGAGTTAACAATTTTGCAACAAGAACTTGTCTCAAATTGTTTTTTCTCTTGTCCAATTAACATGAGTTATCTTACCTGTTTACATACACTATTTCAACTTCAACAGGTTGGGCCACCAGTTAGCTGCTATCTGTCTGACCAGTGCAGCCCCCCCCGACCAACCAGCAGTGCTGTCTGTCTGACCAGTGCAGCCCCCCCGACCAACCAGCAGTGCTGTCTGTCTGACCAGTGCAGCCCAGCCTGTTTCGTGCAGTGAATTCTCCCTGCTCTTTACCAGCTGCCAAACATGTTCCCAGCTGATTAAGTAATTCTCAGGACAAGCTGATGTTTCCCTCTTCTGTGATTCAGCAATTTTCACACCCCTTGACTGATCAATCCAAACTGAATTATCAACAAAGAAACAATTCATATGGAATTGTTTGTTCTTTCTCATTAAAAGAAACAAATTCTAATGGCCAGATAGTTATGACCTTGCATATCAATGAGCATCTTGCTGTTCAAATAAGAGCAAAATGGCTGGATAAACCCAGCAGATCAGGCATCTTCTGAAGAAAGAAATAATGTTTCATGTCAATAACCCTTCATCAGAATCGTCCTGTTCAAAGTGGCTGTGGTTTTGTTGTTGGCAGGTTGATTCTTATTAAATTTAAGAAGCTGAGAAATATTAATAAGTGTCCATAATCCAATTTTCTCCCTCCATTTTGTTGTTGAGAAGAAACACAGTGTTCTGTGGTGTGTTTATCAATGATCTATTCTAAAGCTTCTCTAGCCTTTTCTTTAATCACTCCCTCCAAAAAACTGAAGGATTTTTCAGTCTAGTATCCAGGCTGTTCAAAAATGTGGCTGCAAAATAAATTACTGTTTTAATAATCCCTAAGGGTAAAATAACATCTTTTGTCGATGGGCTAAATGGCCTATTTCTGCTCCTATGTTTTATGGACCCTGATGATTAAATGTGTCTGCATATAATACCAGTCTGATTTAACATAGACTTCAGCGTGAGTCATGTAATGTGTCATGTGATTTGGTAGATAAAGGTGGTGTATCAAATGGATTGTAAAGTTAATTCTCTACATTGTTAAACCATAATAATAGGACAAGAGTGAAGGTTCAAATTAAAGTTTAAAAAAAAATTCAAAAAGATTGCTTTCACACTGTGAGGTTTTAGATTAGTATGAAATGCATTAGCATACACCTTGGAGTTTGTAGGAGCGTTGCTGTTTATTGGAGTATAAACACAAACAAGCATTAATTTTAAGTTCCATCATATGGATGCCATTGTGAATAAGATGGCAATGGAATTGGAGAAATGCGAGGGAACAGAAAACATTTTCTACAATGCTTTGAAATCAATGATGGTAGTGTTATCACTATGTCAAATGCATCACAAAAATATCGTTAAACATGCTTCTCTCCTAAATTGCTACTGGCCTTAATTCCAGGCAATAACTGAATAAATCTCTATAGTTTAGTAGGCTGCCAGTATTAACTGTCTTTTCTTACACAAGATAGTCATTTGGGTATGACACTAGAGCTGCCAACCCCATTAGATGATAACCCACTGAGAGAGCCAGATCTTTCAGTTGAGAAGAGGAGGGGAGAGCAAACTGAACATCAAATAGATCAGAAATATTTGCATATGATCTTTAAAATCGAAAAATGATTTGGAAAATATGAATCTTTTATAGTTAGCATTTCATACAAGCTTGTACATGTATGATATGTTTTTTCAAGTTATTACATTTCATTATTCCATTTTAATTTGACTGTAGTTTATATGTTTCTTATCTAAATGGACAGTTAATTTCTCGCGTGTGTTACATTTCAACTTTGTGTGATTGATATAAATTTACTTTTCAGTGGAATCTCTCTGATTATTGTTTCTGAAATTCTGAACAATTTTTCTATTATGTTCTTTTTTTCCTTTTTGGGTGCCTATGTTTCATTCTTGCAGCTGTTTGACCAGAATGAGTCTGTATTGGCTAAGTGTGAGGGGGAATTTAGGGTAAGGCAGAGCAACAACCTCCCCTCTGGCACTTCAGCTAACTCTGCAACTCCTCCAGTTGCTATCTGTATGTCACCACTAACTCATCTGAACTGGCCTTTGCATGAGAATGAAGCAGACTTGCATGGCTTGATGTTGTCACAGAATTCACAAATGTTTAATGAGTGATTCTTGCTCTTTTTTAAGTGTTCTTATTTTCTGCTCCTTACAACCATGTAATGTACTTGAATGAATCTTTTGATCCCATGGCTTTAGCAATTAAATGTAACTTGCTTTATTTGTATGAAATATTTTGCCCTGTTCCATTTCATTACTATCATTTATAAGGGATGTCATGATATTACAGTGTGAGGATACAATCCCACACAATCCAGCTAGCTACTGTTACATTGTGCATTTTCCATATTCTGAATCAATGCATTGAATTTCAAGATTGCCAGAACTGACATCTTCCCCGCAGAAGAATTTAAACCTTCACATGATTCTATTTTAATTGAAACATATGATGTGAAAGTGTTTAACGTTAACACCAGCAGGGTTATAAGAAGGAAATATCTGACTAAACATTTTGTCTTTCGTTTAAAGTTAGAGTTAGATACTGTGGTCAGAGTTTCATGTTTGTAAATTTGTCAACTCTTAAACTAAGTGAATGGTAAGAAGTGAGCTGCTGGGTACAGGATGGAAACCTTGATCTACATGACATTGGAAACCATGCTTACAGTGAGATTTGTTCGTGTCTCCCTACTATCTCAATGACATCACCAGATACACTCACACTCCCTTGGGTGTACTTTAAAGATAAACTTCCAATTTGGCACTGGCACATTTGTGTTGAAATAATTCTCATTTAATTAGTACATTAAATAAAACTTGTAATATGTAGTGCATACAGCACAGTACATATCTGATGATTTTATAAGACATCACAACATTATATTTCACATCTATATATTTTCATCTTTTCACTGATGCAATATCATTGCACATCAAAGATACAGAGATTAGTTCACAAATTTAAGATGGTGCCAGCGAGTACAGTTGTGATTTGGCTAGCAATGTGCAAAGTACAAATTACACCGCAGATCTTTTAAAATCCAATACACGATGTATGTTGTAAATTTAGTTTTAATTTTAGTTTATTCCTGATAGGAGTGTTTGTAATTTTTATTGTGTGTGTTTGACTGCGACCATTGACACAAGTAAAATAATCCTAGAAATTTACAGCAAGGCAATAAATACAGAAAAGAGGGAAATGGGTCATTTCTCTGTTTGCATGATGGGGCATCTCACAGGAGATCTGGAAGGAATTTCACGAGACCAGATAAACCAGGTCATGCAGTGATACGTAAGATGTTGCTCATGTAGAGGAACAGTATAAAGAAGTATGCAGGATTGACAAGAAAACATGCAAAGGCTAGAAATCTGAAATAAAAGCAGGAAGTGCCAGAGGTGCACTGCAGGTTGGTCAGATTCTGAAAGTGAAGGTTTAGCATTTCAGGTGGGACATACTGTCTGAACTCCTTAATTTGGAGAAAAGACCAGCCCCTGAATATCAACTTGTTACTTTCTTTCAGTTACTGATTTTTCTGCTAGGCGTTTCATGGTCTTAATGTCTTTATTTCAGCAGTTCACTAAGGATACAGATCCATGGATTTATAAATAAGGAAATTATGTGCCAAAACAAGGAAACTTGCTCACCCTTCATGAATCATGGGTTAGCCCCAGGCTGGAGCATTATGCCCTTTTCTGGCCACAACACTTCTGGGAGGATTTCAAAGCCTTGAAGAGAGAGCACAGGAGAAGTTGAGGGTGTTAACCTTAGAATAGAGAACAATAAATGGAGATTTCATTGAAATGTTCAAAATCATGAAAAGTATCGGTAGATTAAAGAGAAACAGTTTCCACTGGCCAATTTGTTGGTAACCATAGGACGCAGACTTAAGGTAATTGATAAAAGTGAGATGTGACAAAATAACAACACATGGGTTGATATCATTTGGAATGTGCTGCCTGAAATGATGGTGCAAGCAGACTAAGCAATATTATTCAAAACATAATACAATTATAACTTGGAAAAGAAATATTTACAGGGTTATTGGAGAAGTGCAGGGCAGAGGGCATTATTGGACAGCTGCATACCACCTTCGTCATTGAAGATTTTATGGTTCTACATATCTAGGATTTTTGGAAACAATATAAGAATTGTGAGTGAAAAATATAGCAAGAGTTTCTACTTTTCACTAGATCTGTTGGAAGGTCCTATTAACGGATTTTAATGGGAGCGAGCAAGAACCAGTGAGTGTCAGTCTGCCATTGGATGGCATGATTTAATTGTGCCTGCTTTCAGACCACTGTGCAGTTCACAGACTAACTTAAACTCAAAGCTGTACACACAATGAAACTGTGCGTAGTTGAGACATTGCACAGTAAATGGACATACAGAGAGGAACAAAATAACATTACTCTGTGTGAAATGTTCTCAGACTTGTAGCAATAAGGGATGGAACTGGCAGGATCTAGAGGTAGGGACAAAATATTAAAACAATCTAGCATCTGTTCTGATCTTGTCAGATCACCATATTGTGACATCCCTATTATTTGTCAGAAGCTAATGGCGCTAACAAGGATGTTTAATGGAATGACTTATTTTGAAGTATCTATATATGTATGCGTGTTGTAAGGATTAATTTGTATTATTGCTAATGAATGATTTATCTTCACTGCTTGCAGATATTGACAATCCAGATCCTTCTTTTATACAGTCAGTAGAGCTTCATGATGCGCTCTACACAGAATCTTCAGACCAAATTTGCACAAACTCTGTGGCAGACTGTAGAATAAGAGCAGATTCTGACGAGGAGTCAGAAAGTACTGTCCTATGACGTAAGAACACTCCATTTGTGTGACTCAAGCTGTACATATATTACATCAACAGGATGGTAGATCAATGGGCATCTCTTCACATGTAACTGCAAGAAAAGCTGCTTCCATTTACTATGGGAATGGAATTCTTTAAGATAAAAGTTTTGCTTTGGTTCGATTATGGTCAGTCAGCCCTTAAAAACACTGTTCTGTTGTCTGAGATCAATTTTTTTTAACTTTTTATTTAGCCTTACTGAGATGACTTTTTCAATAAAGAACTTGGCCTTTGAACCTGCCATTTAATTTGATTTATATATTTTCATAGTACAAAAGAATGCTATCACACCCACATAGAAATAAGCATTGATGTATCCTACATATGAAGTAATTGTCTTTTATGAGATGGTAGTTTGAGTTTCTATACATGGCAAAACTTCTGATTCTTTGGAGAAAATGGTTTACCACAAATAGGAGGTCAGAATCTTGCATTTAGAAATCTTCCATCTACTGAAGAAACCCCTTTCTGTTGTACACTGGAATGAGCCCATCCTTAGGGCAGACAGAAAGGTGGGCCTAAAAGCATAGATTAACATACAGTACAAAAATTATCAAAATAAATCTTCATTGTCTGATAGATGAAGAAGGTACACTCAGGATTAAGTCAACAAGCACTGTTGAGTGAGGGAGTTAACTGTTTTAATGCGTACCCATACAAACAGCCAGTCAAAGATTTTGACCCCCTAGAGTTTTACAGAATCACAAACAAAATCCATTTCTAAAAGTAGCCATTCGCACAGAACAAAAATGAGACTTTATTTCTGATCATTGTGATTTAAATCATCATTGAAAATATAATTCTACGTCCCATTGTATACACCCTGGTATTTGTCTGTTTATACAGTTCAAAGGAGAAATGTGCTAAATGCTGTGGTATAGTTTAAATTTGTATAACCCATGGCAATTGCCAATTATTCTGAAAGTAACTTCAGCCTGAAAAAAGGAAGAAAGCTGTCAGTATTGTACTTTTTAAATTAAAAAAAGTCTGTACGTGGATGGTGACTATTACAATGGACTGTTGTGGCAGTAAAAGTTTACTTGTTATCATGCCAGAATACCTTGTATGAATAGAATTTAATTAATGTCTATGTAAATGTTGTATTAAAAATATACTGTGTATTTAAGGGAGAGGGGCTAGACTGGTGACTGATTATGTGTCTATTACCTTTGTAATGTACAGGACCTAAAACATTGCTCCATGCAGTGACTTATTTTAAATGATCATAGAGTGTAGAGCTATGAGAGAACATAATATATCTGTTATATAAACACTTGTTTCATGCATTATGTTTCACTTGAAAATATATATAATTATAGTGCTTTAAAATAAACACGTTTAAATAGAGGGTTTAGTGGCAATGCCTGAGAAATAAAGTTGTGCTGATTCCCTCATCTGTGGTCTCTCATCTAAAACCTGGAGAAAAACTGAACTGAAAATAAAAAAAACCTGAAATATTACAAAATGTAGAGCAGACTTGATGTGTCCTCAAAAGATGTTACAATTTCATATCACAACAATAAAATAAAATATACACATTTTGACAAAATGTGAAACATTCCAGTCATTATGGAGATATGTGGTTCTGTGGTATGGATGAAAATGGATGCAGGCTTTCCTAAATGTAGTTAAAGAGAAATAGTTATGACTCCATTTGTTCGTGGGAGTGTTTTGCTGAGATTAATCACTGCGAACCCCTTTGTAGGTCTGAAAATTGAGGATGGTTCAGTCTAGCACACTCCTTCTGTCACTAGGTGGAAGCAGAGATAGATTTCATATTGCTGTGTGAGCTATAGCTATGATGGTACCACATGTAATCCCTGTCTTTGTAGATATTGCAAATCTGTTGAAGTCAATAAGATAAAGAAGAATGCCTTGCAAGAAGTCAACAAGGTAGTAATCTTTCAGGTTGATGGGTGTCTGACAGTCTCCACACCATTCTCTTACATTGTTTGATGACTAATACTTTCTTCTTAATGAAATGTTGATATTTCTGAAATATGAGGTGGCTTCAGTCTTTGTCATTTGCAAAAGAAATAATAAAATCAAACTGCTGCCTTACTGATCCTGAGGGAACTTTTTTTTATTAAATGTTCTTCAATGTAGCTCTGTTGACAAGGCTACTTTGCCTGACAGAGTCATACAGAACAGAAACAGGCCCTTCAACCCACCATGTTTATGGCAACCAACAAACACCAAACTACACTAATCCCACACTTGGTCCATAGCCTACCATGCCCTGGCATTATGAGTGCCCATCCAGATGCTTCTTAAATGTTGCAAGAGTCCCTGCCTCCACCACCTTCTCAAGCAGCACCTTCCATATATCCACCACCCTCTGGGTGAAAAACATTTTCCTTAAATCTCCGATAAACCACTTATTCCTCACCTTAAACTTATGCCCTCCAGTCTCAAACACATCTGTCATGGGGAAAAGGTTCTCACGATCTCCTCTGTCTATGCCTGGGATAATTTTGTACACTTCAATCAGATCCTGCTCACCCTCCTCTGCTCCAAGGAAAACAAACCCAGCCTATGCAGTCTCTCCTCATAACTGAGACTTTTCATCCCAGCTAACATCCTTGTGAATCTCCTCTGCACCCTCTCTAGCGTAATCACATCCTTCCGATAGTGTGGCAACCGGAGCTGCGCACAGTATTCTATTTGTGGCCTAACTAGTGTTTTATGAAGTTGTAACAAGACATCCTTGCTCCTATATCCTACACCCTGACTAATGGAAGCAAGTATCCCATATGTCACCTTCATCTATATGTGCTGACACCCTCATGGATGAGTCAAGCTCTAGACTTACTCTCAGCTAGTCTAACAAGGAAACCAAGTAACATTGCATTGACAGGTGTCCAATTTGAGATTTGTGGCAGACTCAACTATTGTGTGCCTCTCCTTTACACACAATGCCAGCTCACTAAACCTTTGCCCAACACTCTGAGCACTCCAGTGGCATCTCTAAACCTCTTGTGAAGCACTGCAAAATTCAGATCTTACTTTTACAATCCAACCTTTCGTTGTGGGCCATAGTCTGGTATGTGGACCATCCTCAATGATGCAGCAGTTCCCTCGACCCAACTTGTTGTTTAGCACTTCCTTGGTAGGCAATCAATAACTGGAGGCCAAGGGCTTCCCAGTGTAACATGAGATTCTAACATAGGGATGGTACCAAGGTCATGAAGCAGGGATTCTTTATGGCATGAAATCGTGAAGTGAAGTTAAGTTTAAACATGAAAGACACACTGAGCAAGCCTGTGCTTTACATCTGGTTGAGGAAATCCTTTCGTCTGATCTTTTTCTTCATCAGACACCCTTTCCTCCAGAAAGGAGTTCAACTGCTGTGCTTGATGTCCTCTGGCATTATTGTCGTTACTGCTGGAACACTTTGTATTTTTAAGACATCAGACCAGAAACCTCTTTTTCAGGAAAGTGGGGGAACTGTGAAGTTCAGTATCACATGCTTGCTTCCTTGAAGAACAAACCTCCTGGCTGGACAACCAACTGTCCATGAATGGTGGTGCAGAGACACATAAGCACTGAGTCAAAAAGATTTGGATCACAATGGTTCTGGTCCTGCTTCCTACACTTTTAATTATGAATTATGACACTCTTAATCCTTTGGAATGATTCTGTAACTGCACCTACAACTTGTATGAACATGTACAGTTGTTTCTTGAATTAATGATTTATTTTGTGTATTTTACAGCAGAAATACAGTGAAAAACTTTCATTTGTCGCCACGATTCGGTGCCATTTTGAATAATTTAAGAATAAGGAAAAAGAAAGAAAGGTATAGTTTAATGACAGTCCATCAGTCCTAAGCCAGCACATCACCATCAATGATGCCCGTGCCACTATTCCTCCGCCACCACTTAACACCATCTACACTGGACCCAACCAACATCAAAGTTACCACTCCTCAGGCACCATCTTTCACCACTGGGCCTACACGCCTTTGCCACCACCTGTGCCAGACCAACGAAAGTTGGAGTCAAATCTCTTGGTGGGTTCACCTCGATGTTGCTGTGATGCCAACGCTGGACCCAACCAACAACAAAGTCACTGATCCTAAGGCGCCATCTTTTGCCACTGGGCCTACCTTGCCAACGTCACCTCCGCCGATGTAGCAGCTGCCGATTCTGATGTCGGGTCCTGTGCTCACCCTGGAAAAGTAAGTAAGGGCCTACTCGAGATTCGCACCAGGCTCACTCTCCTCCACGCTGGACCCAATCTCCTCTGCACTGGGCCCACTCGAGGTTCGCACCAGGCTCACTCTCCTCCATGCTGGACCCAATCTCCTCAGCACTGGGCCCACTCGAGGTTCGCTCCGGGCTCACTCTCCTCCCCGCTGGACCCAATCTCCTCTGCACGGGGCCCACTCGAGTTCCATACC